TAATTGTTTAGTTTCTAAAAGATTATGTTTTAAACTTTTAAAGTTATTAAAAACAAGCTTTTTAGCCTAACACAAAGTAGTCGTTTAGCAAAAAAAAAAACGAATTTTAAGCGGGGGAACCGGGGGAATGGGGGCGGGACCGGGGGTGATGGAGGTAACCGGGAGCGGGACCGGGGGCTATGTAAACGGGGGAGCCGGGGGCGGGACTGGGAGCAGGGGCAACAATTGATTTTGGGGGCGGGAGCGGGGGCAGCTATTCCCGCTCCCGTTTGGTCCCGTTGACATCCCTAGTTAGTATAGGAGGTTGCTTGTGTCATAAACTAAAGAAAAGTCAACACTCCACCTCTTGCACTTCCCCAATTCTTCGTGGATAAGTTTTGCATTAAAAATGTAATTAATTAAGATATATGGGTCTTAATATGTTAAAATAAAGTTTTTGGTGAAAATCCCGCTTTAAAATGATGAAAAACGGACTTAAAATGAAATCGTAGCCGAAAACCGGGAAAAATGGGTTTTTCCTGCGAAGCCCTTCGATTCTGGCCCTAGAGGCTTCGGGCTTCGGGTCCTGAGGCTAGAGGCTTCGGGCTTCGGGTCCTGAGGCTAGATCTTCGGGCTTCGGTTCTGGGGCTTAGGCTTCGAATCTGAGGCTAAGTCTTCAGGCTTCGGTTCTGGGGATTAGGCTTCGGATCTGAGGCTAAGTCTTTGGGCTTCGGTTCTGGGGCTTAGGCTTCAAATCCTTGAGCCTATTTTTCTCGTTTTTACCCCGTTTCAAGTCGTTTTTGACCCGGTTAAGGGTCGGGATGACCCGAACGATTACAAAAAATTACAGGAACTTTTGAGAGAGATTTGGGAGAGATTTGTAATAGAGAGAGAGATAGCGTAAAAGTGATCGAGAGAGGTTTCGTTTGTGGCATTTTTGAGTGTCCGGCTTCGCAATGCAAGGTCCGTAAACCCCATTAAGCCATGTTTTAGTGTCCTACACACTCCCGATGAGTGTGTAATAGTGTTTTATCGCTTTGGTTCAATGTTTAGCATTATCACGATTATGGAAATTCAAACACCTGAATCTTCCAAATGATGTTTTCTCATTAAAATAGCGAGTTGTTTACTAATTACACAATGTAAACCCTAATATACAAGGGCTAATTGAGTCGTCCGGTTTGACTTGTTGACTTTGTTTGACTTTAACTTGACCCAAAATTGACTATTATCACACTTCGAGCTAATTTTCACAATTGATGAGTTTGGTCCCTCCCCATGAGAATCTTTTCAAATTTAATCCAATATTTATCCCTTTAGCCCATGATTCACTAAATATTTACAATATAAATCCATAATTTACATTTTATCCCTTGCTTCAATAATTTCTTTCATATTAGGTCCAAATGATACCAAACACCCCCTGACCTCTAAAATCTTTTCAAAATAAATCCCAAAACTTACACTTTTAACCCCCAACTTCTAAAGTTGTGACAGTTAACTCCTCGAGACCAATCCATTATATATAACTATTGATTTTAGGGCTACTATACGTTCATTAATTAATTAATTTATTTATTTAATAAGCAGGGTGTTACACCCAAAAATTCCAAAAACTATATCATTTAACTTCTCATGGCTAACCCTGATAATTATTATAGTTTTGGGGCTATTATTCAATTATTAATTTTATTCATTTATTTATTTATTAAACGGAATGTTACACGAAGGGGGTGAAATAGATCCAGTATTTTTTTGACTGTTATATATGTATGGTATGAGGTATTCTAGGGGAGCTCACTAAGTTTTATGCTTAAGGTTTTCAGTTTATGTTTCAGGTACTTCCAGCTCAAAAGGAAGGGTCTCATTTGATCGCACTGCACTCGCCCATATTTTCTGCATTATGTGATTTTGGAATTTTGGTTGTTTTAACATGTTTACTAGATATTTTGGAATGAATTAAAAATGAAAATTTTGTCTGTAAATTTTGGGAAGTTACAATATGTGAGAGTTGGAAGCATGAACTTAATGAATTAAGTTGAAAAAAATACCCTGAGTTTTGGAAAGACGTGGCATGTTTATTGAGGGTGTAGAGGAGCTTTTTAGTTTTCTAGACGCGTCTGATTTTTTTGCTTAATCCTGACTATTTTGTCGTTTTCTTGGATGCAGGGCGCCCTGATTAGGCGCTAGCCACCATTGACTTTTGACAAATAGGCTTTTTGACCTTTTGACCAAGTTTGACTTTGGGTCAAAATTTAGGGGTTGACTTTAGACTGAGGTTTAACCTTTTTTTTAGTCTATGTGGTTCGTGAGACCGACCTTATAGGTTTATGACTTTATGTGAGCAATCTGGATTTATTCATCTCTGATTAATGTGAGTTTTCTCACTATGTTATTTGTGACATAGTTGCTATGGCACGATTGCATGTTTAGCTAGACTAATAGAGTCTTGCATGTTGCTTATATGTTTGCATGTGTGGTTGAAAAATGCCTGTTTTGTTGAAACATACATGTTAGGTTGAAATAGACCTGTTGGGTTAAAACATACCCATTCAGTTGAAACATACATGGGTTGAAACATACTCATTTTAGTTGAAACATACATGTTGGGTTGAAACAAGCATGTTGGGTTGAAACATACCTGTTTCGGTTGAAACAGACATGTTGGGTTAAAACATACTCATTCGATTGAAAACATACATGTTGGGTTGAAACAGATATATTACTGTTATGTATGGTTAGCTGTCTTGTATGTTATATTCTGGGAAACTCACTAAGCTTTGATTTACAGTTGATGACTAAATGTTTTCAGGTACTTCTTCGAATTGTAGGAAGGCGAACACGTAATTGTACACACACATCAACAGTTGATGATTTGAGATTCTACGATGTTTTTATTTGTAACTCTGATTTTGAATTTCAATTATGAACAAAATGGTTTTATCTTCTTAGGTGCATTTTGTGCACTTTTTTTGCACATATTTTAGTCCCTTTTTATGCATCTATTTAGCATAATTGTTCTTCATTTGTCTTGCATTTCATCATATTTCATGTTAGTCTCTAGAACAACCTTATTTGCACATTTTCATGTCTTTTTCAGGTAAACTGTATGTTGGAACGCGCTTTGAAAGGTGCCGGGAAGCATTGGTGAGGATTTCGGGATGATCGGGCGAAGAACGAAAAAGTTGGAAAAATCAAGTTTGGAATTGGAGTCAGAGAGGAACACGAGCCGTGTTGGATTTACACTGCGAAGGAACACGGGCCGTGTTGACCAGAAAAAGAAGAAGTTGTTGACCATGCTGAACACGGGCCGTGTCATTTTTACCTTATGCCCAACACGGCCGTGTTCGACTCAAAAACCAACTTTTAACAGTTTTTCCTATCTTTCATATTACGGGCTGAGGGCCATTTTTACAAAGACACAACATATCAAAGCACATTTTGAGAGGGGATTTCGAAGGTTTTTGCAAGGGTTTGATCAGTAATCATTTGGAAACATTATTTCTAGTATTTGTAAGTTGTAATTGCATATTATTTCCATCTTTTAAACTTGTGATCTTGTTCTAGCCATGTGTGGCTAGAACCCTAGTTTCTCTAATTTCATGTTTTGACTTCTTGGTTGTGATTTCAATCATATGACCTGATGTTTGTTCTTAATTTCTATCTAGTGAATTTGATTTTGCTTTAATCGAATGTTTGATTCTAATTGTGATTCTTATTGGCCATTTGAATTAGGGTTAGGTCATTCAAGTTATCTCTTTTACAAAATCCATAATTGTTTTGTGAAATTGAACAAGTAACAAACATTAAATTGATCTCTATTGAATGAATTTAGTGTAAATCTTATTCATACACTTTTACACTCCCGAGGTTGTGAGGAGTATTGGGTGTTGTTGGGAACATTCACATAAAGCTTCATGCAATCTTTTAATCTAATTCTAAGAGCTTGTTTAGATTAGGTTAGTAAGGTTATGGTTAATCAAATAGCTTTTTTTGGTTAATTAATGTGGTGAATGGGAAGTGTTAGAGCTTATTAACACTTTCAAGTACCAACTTAGATAGAAGTGAACGAATATTAAGTCATCTTTGAATCACATTGCTAAGTTGTCATACATGAAGTTGGGGCCCTTGCAAATTCTGAATTTAATTCACTCGTTTAGTTGATTGCTTGTGTTTTTAATTTGTTTGTTTAATCATTGAATTCAAAACTCCCCTCTTTAATCTTTTGTGAACAAGTACCTTACGCAAAGAGGTATCAGACCGATTGTCCCGTGTCTCTGTGGATCGACCCTACTTGTCTTGTACTACCTGTTAGTGCAATATAGTAGTGTTCTTAGGAGTATATCGTACCCTTATCATTTGTTGGGTTTGACACGCCTAACATATCTTGATTACAACTTTGAGATTCCACAATGTTTTATTTATAACTCTGAATGAGAGACAGTTTTATAGGAAACCTCATGCAAAATTGAGATAAAAATGTAAATACAAACAAATGAATGAAAGTAAAAAATTTCATAATCACGCTAACATTAAAGTATTCTCTGCATAAGATCTCTGCATAAAAAAGGTCAGCCTATGATAAGTTGTAATGTGGTATATGTGTGAAAGAAAAAAACAACAAACGAAAAAAGAAATATACACATAAAGATGGGGAAGGCTTACGATATAGATAATGAATAAACTACTCAAGTATTAGAAGCAGATATATGAAATAAGTTGAAAATAGATATTAGATAAGAAAAATGAAAAAGGAATAGTGAGAAGGTAAAATGGGTTGGTAAGCACACATAATTCTAATCCTCATGATTCTAATCATCCGTAGTTTCCTATAAAAGATCATGTCTTCGGTAAGTGCTAATTTTTGCAAATCTAATCTCACACTATCTTCCTATTTACTTCTTGGCTGCGCTCTCCTCCTCACACTTTCTATTGTAATCGTCTCCACTATCCTAACAACAACTATCATGTCTTTTATGGATTTGATCAACACAAACAATATAAAGGATGTTAGGCTATAGACTACGCCAATACTACTATGCTACATTGATTCTAAGCCTTTATAGTTTCCTATTAGACGTTATGTACTCGGTAAGAGATAGTTTTTTCAAATCTAATATCACGTTATCTTCTTACTTTTTTCTCGGTCAATATCTATTCCTTAGCATCTTCTACCTTCTACTGTAATCGTCTTCACTTTTCTAATAGCAGCAAACAGATGTCTTCTATGGACATAACCAAACCACCGTAGTCTTCCATTCACTAAATTTATTGATGATCGATGCCACTAATGTTATTCTTTTTATTTTGTAACTTTTCTTATGCATACGTCACGTGGAGCGCACGTGATTTAGGTTTTTTTTGTGAGTCCTGATTTCAACGGGAATCAAACTAGGTTTTAGGACGGATTCTCTTCCGATTGGGGTTTCCGGTTCCGACGATGGCGATTCCACATCCTTACGATCCAGTATATTACAACATTCCGTCCATTCCTCCACTGGAGTATGCCGGTTATGACGACCCCAACGCCATTAATACACTCTTCGTTTCGGGTCTACCTGACGACATCAAGGCACGTGAGATCCACAATCTCTTCCGCCGTCGACCTGGGTTTGATTATTGCCAACTCAAGTACACGGGCCGCGGCAATCAGGTCTTGTTATGAATCAATTTCGTATAAAATCGTCAAATTATAGGCGCATGCTTTATGCATCATGAATTTTGGAGGGTATTTCTTCTTTAGTCGCCCGCTTATGAACCAGCACTTCAATTTCGCACCAACGAAAACCACATTAGTGATTAAAATTCTATGTTTATAGTGAATTGAAATATAAACAACATCTACAGGACTTGGTGAACTGCACGAGTAAATTAAAGTAGCCTTGTTGTTGGTTCGCTTGTTGGAATTTAAGCAGTCTGTTTGACGACTTTGCAGGTTGTTGCATTCGCAACTTTTGTAAACCATCCATCAGCAATGGCGGCTCTTCGTGATCTGAATGTGAGTAATTTCTGCCGCTTAATAGCGCTTCTTGATTGACGTTCTTCGTAATTTTGAGTTTATAGCTGAAACTGACATGGTTGATTAATGATTATCAGGGTGTTAAGTTCGACCCTCAAACTGGTTCCACTCTGCATATTGAACTTGCAAGATCAAACTCCAGAAGAAAGCGGAAACCAGGTATTCAGTTGTGTGGAGTATTATATAAGAACGAATAAACAATGATTGAACTATAGCAATGAGTGATGAAGTCGTTAATTTGCAGGCCCTGAAGCTTATGTTGTTATTGATAAGAGATCCATTGCTACTAAGGATGATCAAGATTCTAGTGACGATGGTATTGATCATCGATCTCAATCTCCCTATAAAGAGAATCGTAAGTTATAACAATAACACATCTTAAACTTTCCATTGCATCTTCAGGAGATAGTGAAACTGAAGAACCATCTGAAACCGACAAGGATAATGCAGCAAGGAGGTAGACTGCATAAGTTTGCTTTGATTATTAAGCTGATTCCCAGTGTCATTGCAATTCCATATGAATACAAAAATTAAAATAAAACTCAGAATGACTCACTCCTCTTTCTTCTTATGTCAACCAACAGTGATGAGGAGACGACTGGGGATCCTGACAATACTGTAGGTGCAGAAAATGTAAGCTTCTAGCGAATGTTTAAAGTTTCAACTGCTTCTTTCTGTGTTATTGATGTGTTGCTTGATTGTGAGTTATAGGAACAGGCAGAAAATACAGTGGATGGAGCGTGTTCGACTTTGTTTATTGCAAATTTAGGTCCCAATTGCACGGAAGATGAGCTAAAACCTGTTCTTTCCCAGTAAGTATAGCCAGACATTGAGATTTTTAGTTTTGTTAATTTGCAGTTTATGGTGATGACTTGTATTATGCATTTTGGTTATTTAGGTACCCTGGATTTAACACACTCAAGGTGCGTAACAGAGGTGGAATGCCTGTTGCATTTGCGGATTATGAGGTATGTCAGTTTATTTTATTTTATTTTTGACTTCTTCAAGCGAGGCCAATGGTGCTAATATAATTAAGTTTTAGTGTTAAATGTACAAAAAAAAAAAGGCAAATATTTTCAGTAATTTAGTGATCAATGCAAACATATGGATTGGTGATTGATTGTTGATTGTTGGCAGGAGGTGGAGCAAGCTACTGATGTCATGAATGCTCTTCAGGGAAGCACACTACAATCATCTGACCGTGGAGGCATGCATATAGAGTAAGTTTGTGTCGGTATATCTTTATTTTTACAGTTTGGCAAATTTCTAAAAGTAGTATTAGATGGTATGTTTGATTTGATGATTCAATGTCATTGTCTACAGGTATGCAAGATCAAAAATGAGAAAACGGTGAAAGGTGAAACCCTGATCTTTAAGTGAATTGGATTCTTGTGGTTGTAGGAGTTGAGGAGAAATGGTAGGTTGGCTGTATGTGTATTTAGTGTATGTATATGCTCGTGTCTTAGTCATATTTTCACAAGACTCAAAAGCTAGATGTAATTTCAAGATACCAAGGCTCTTCTATCATACGCTTTTTACTCGAACAAATTTGACTTGTTTGTTTTGATAGTTTTTGTCAAACCAACACGCTTATATTTTTTTTTTTTTTAAGTTTTGGTTACAAAATGTCGATAAGAGCCCACCCAAATTTTCATATGATTCTTTAAGGATAAAAGAAAAGCAAAAATAAACATGTAGTTGGTTAATTTGAGGATTTCAGAAACTGCTTCCAACATTCATTCCATTAAAGAAAGCTATATCTGGAGTGAACTACAAAGTAGCTATTGGAACAAAATGGCCTACTACTCATATGACAGCTCTTGTATTGTTACTACTCCCTGCCTTGAGTCAGTCACATGTGACTCGATTCCATCATCACGTCCCCCTCCAACATTCGTAGCACCTTACCACATATAACATATAACATTTAAAATAAACAAATACTCTTGTTACAAGTTTACCCTTTTTTTCTTTATGAATTATGCATATGAAGTGAGTCGGTTTGGAAGGAATTACCTGTGACATGCGAGGTCGTAAAAGAGGATCCCTTTTGATACATAGACAAGCAGCTTCCAACATGCAACAAACTTCATGTTCTGAGTAACACTTTCCTAACCGAGGGTCAATTAACTTACGAACCGCATTATTTTCCAACAACGGACGTGCCTACCAAACATGAAACAAAACATTAAGTCACAAGCAAACTCATTTTTACCCTCAATTTAACCAAAACTCTCTCTCTCACCCATTCTGTGAGGCATTGTTGGCCCTTAGGCCGGTTAATATCCACTGCTTTTCGCCCAGAAACAAGCTCCAACAGTACTACACCGAAGGAATATACATCAGCCTTTTCAGTCACCTCCCCACTTTCCGCATACTCTGGAGCTAAATATCTAATGCCAAATATACAATTTTGTTATATTCACAATAGACTAATTCCACAACTAAATGCAATGCTTTCGGGAAGATTTCAAAAATCAGACCAAACTTGCAATCTTGAGTGAAGGATAGGACCAACTTTGTAAATTATTGTTTCACAAATCACAATATTATGGAAATAGCATAAGGGAAACAAGAAGGCCTTGCTTACCCGAATGTTCCAATTACTCTTGTTGCTTCTCCTTTGTCTCCATCAGGCTGCCACCTTGCTAAACCGAAGTCCCCAACCTTACACACAAAACGGTGCTTTTACTCTTAGTCTTTTACCCATATGATATTATAATAGAGGAAGGGGCTGCTTTTGACATTTAGCAAAACTAGCGGGTAAATAAAGTGAAATACCAGAGGTTCAAAATCATGGGTGATGAGGATGTTGTTGGGGCGCACATCACGATGAACAATGCAACCGACTCTGCATTCTTCATGAAGATATCGCAGTCCTCTCGCAGCTCCCACAGCTATTTTTTGGCGCGCACCCCACTCTAATCGACCTTCATGACGTCCTGTTAAATTAATAATTAAACTTTATACTATATGTACATAAAAGTGTACCAAAATAAATAAATAAATAAATAAATACTATATAAGTATAGAAATACGACTTGCCATAAAGATGAAAATCTAATGATCTGTTGCATATATATTCGTACACAAGCAACCTTCTTCCATCTTCAACACAAAATCCAATCAACATAACAACATTTCGATGTTGTGCACAGTTGAGTACTTCAACTTCTGAGCAGAATTCTTGATCACCTTGAGAACTTGCAAGCTTGTGTTGTTTCACAGCGACTACTTGTCCATCTGGAAGAACCCCTCTGTGAACTGACCCAAATCCACCTTCTGCTAAAAAATTCGCCCGAGAAAAACCTCCGGTGGCTACCTCCAGTTCGGAATACTTGAACCACCGTGGTGGTTTTCCGACCACGGGTGCTTTGTGTAAACATATTGAGCACAAGGGTGGTGGGCCCGAAGGCATGCTTCTTGATAGGGAGATTGCTTCCCTTACACACCCACCAAGAAAGGTTTTATCTTTTGTAATTGATGTAGCTTCATCCGTGTAAGATGAACAGCTTGAGGTCAGGATATCAATGATTCGTGGTTGAAACCTTAAACTAGACGAAGATGATGATGATATATGATCATCATCGGTTTCAGAGTCTGAACTTGATTCAGTGACATCTTTTTTCTCTTTTTTAGTCGAAGATTCTACGTTTTTTACGGGGGCAGAAAATGGTGAAGTTCCCGGATCGGAACTTGAGAACGATGAAGTTCCGGGTTCGGTTGTGGTAAATATCTCGGGACTACTTGTTGGAGTGATAGATGGCCCTTTAATGGGACCCACTCCCACTGATGACTTTTTGTTTGTTTCTTGCTTTTCACATGATTTTTCAGTCTCCTTTCTTGGAGATCCGGCGAAATTCAGACGAACGACTTTGGGTTGTGATTTCTTCATTATCACAACATTGCATTGTAATTCTTCCATACATGGCTTTTGTTCGTGTTTCAGCTTTCTACAAGTAATACAAAAAGGTAAGTGAAAGCAAAAAATCTGAAGTAATATTGTAAATACATGTTTGAAAATTGAAATATTACTTGTCCAAAACAACCCAACTAGCATGAAACTTTTTGGCTTCTGCAGCAACTACGCCACATGGGGTTCCAGAAACTACTTTTATCTTCATATTTACCTATTAGAAAACTCGGAAATTAGTTCGTGGTGATCAAGAAGATAATGAAATCACATCAATTGGTGAATCTGAGATAATATCGAAGCTCAACAATACCTTATCTGGATCATACACATCATGAAGCTGAAGAATCATTTGAGAGCAAGAATCAGTAATACTAATATCGACTTTCTGTTCTGGAATTGTTCCTGAATCTGACTTCCGATGAACACTAGCACAATCTCCAGAAAACCTTGGAAAACCCCACAGTTTTCTACCTATGAAAAGGGAGTAAGATTATGATCAATAATGTGTGTAAAGATATTATAAACATGAAGAAGAGTATATATATTAATATTACCAGAAGTTTGTGAAGGGGTGACCACAAGCAACGTAACGAAATGCCCTGGTTGAACCACGTGAGTCAAAGCCCAAATCAAAGCGGTACTCTTTTGAATTTCTTTCGATGCCTTTACAGCAACAATCACCTTCTCCAGCTTCCCCATGTTGCTTTCTCTACTCAGTGACATAAATGAAAATGCTTTTGAATATGAGATTTCTTTAGAATCTAAAATCTAATGCTTTATAAGGAAAATTAACAAGTAACCCAATTAATTCGTATTGGGGTGTGTTCGTGACACTCTGCTCCCCACCACAAAGTTTTGATTCTATCATGGAAGGAAGTACAGTGCAACCAGACGAATTTTGGGTGTGATGTAACAGTGAGTATAAGAATACCTCCAAATAACGGCCTAATTTCCCCAATAAATCTCCGTGAAAGGCGTTCTACCAATTTGATTGAATATTCCAAACCTGGAAAAGTTTAAGCAAATGAATCCAAAAGTACCATAAATGAGGAGCTCTCTAGCAGGAACGTCTCCTATTCGAAGCACATGTGCAACACAAACAAACAATTACAGTGTTTGAAACTTTGGAAGGTATCAAAACGATGAAATTCAGCTGACCTAACTAGTTATTAGCCCAAATGCACCAGATCACATCAAAATTTTGTGCTTATGATCCAGAATCCGAATTCTTCTGTTCACACACTGTTACGAAAATAGTTTTACTATCAAATCAATCACCATACGACATGACAACAGAGTTCTACAATTTTTGTGCTTATACCTTTCGCTTTGATAGCGATAAGAAATGACGATTTCATCCACTGATCCATAAATCGTCCACTATTCATCAATAATCACACTCCAAATAACGCTAGCATACTTCAAAAGTCACAGGCATAACGAAAACGATACATTTATGTCGAAGTAAATTTCTGCCGTTCAAAAATAACAAGGTAGAGAGCGCACTTAGATTTATTATTCATCGAAACAAAATACAACAAATAGTTGAAACGATGGCTCAATGCAACATACGTACAAACAACCAATAATATGATTCATCTAACCACAACAACAGTATCACATTGCTGTTTGCATATTATCTTCAAAACCAGGAAACATGAATAGAAAGAGATTTAAGAATATAAAATGATTGCGTGAGGGTTTCGAGTTAAAAATCGTAAATAGAACATCAAATATTCGAAATCAATTTTTTCAAAAAGTAAAATGTAACAAATGAATACTATCATTACCATCTGTAACGAAGATTAAATGTGATGAGACTCAAGAATCTGAAGCGAATAGTGTCATTATCTTCTTCGTAAAGCACGTACAAACACAAGCTTGCAGGTGTGAGTTATGACTGTGTGTGATAACTTGCAGAGGTTCTTTTTTACTGTTTGAGCTCGAAGGAGAAATATTTATGGCGACTGTTGGGTTTACGAAATTACCCCCGGTTTTGGACAAATCTTCGCATCTGACCTTTTCCATTTAGTTAGGCTAATACTTAAGTTAGTTGGAGGCTAGGTTTTATCAAAATAGGTAACTTTTTTTATACGTGGAGCTTGGTCCGGTTAAAACGGGTTACTTTTTAGAATGCGTCACAATTACAGTGTCTGAAACTTTTTTAGAATGCTTGTGTCAAATCCTATAAATGTACGTAAAAATTGCTAATGTTATAATTTCTCATGAACATTCCCAGATTCCCTTCTCATTAATTTCCAATATATACACAATCACAAGAAAATATAAGAAAACACTGGCATAATACATGTGGGCCGATGATCAAGTTAATACAAGGTCTAATAATATAATAATACATGAGCGTTCCCACAGTTTGAACACGAAGGTCTGTTCCAAACTTTTAGATTGGACCGAAAGTCAAAAGAAGCTGAATACATGTGGGCCGATAATCAAATAAATACAATACCTAACAATAAGAGGGTCGCAAAAGACTTAAACTTTGGCGGAAAAAAAAAATACGGTTTTATTCTAAAATGATTTTTAGTAGAGATGTACATATTAATCAAAAAATCGAACCATAATCAAATTAGTTGATATAACTGAAAATTTTTAACCAAACCATTACTAAAAGATATGATCCGGTTATAACTGAAAGTTTTTAACCAAACCATTAC